ATTAAAATTCATATTTTATTATTATTTCTCTTTCTTTGCTGTTAATCTTCACCCATTGGCGTCTGTCTCCTCAACTTAACTCGTTTGACTCGCTAACTTAACTTCTCCGTTCACGGCATGTCTGGCGACGATAGTGACGTGCTCCCAGCGCGTCGAGACTCATAATTTATTGGCACACAACACACAAACGAGACAACGACAACGTGATGTCTGATTCTCCTTGTCCGTCGTACAGTGGTACATTAGAGAGGAGTCAACTTGTCTTCTTGTATTAATATATGTTATATGCGTTTGTCATAATTCGGATAATACATTTTGTTTATTATTATTGTTATTATTTTAAACTTCAATTTTTCAATCCTTTAATTTGACGTTTTTTTTCAATTAAAAATTTTAACTACAATTTTTAAAACTCAATTAGCATTGAAATCTTTAAAAATAAAGCTTTTAACTTTCTTCTAAATCTTAAGTTAAGGAGAAACTGTGAACTAGAGTTTGTTGATTGTCACCCTTATTTAAAATGATTCAAATGCAAAATGTAAATCTATATATTTGCCAAGTTGAATCTTTTTTATTCGCTTTGAGCCGTTTCGAATCTTTTCAAATTTCTTTTTCTATTCAATGCATTGAGAAATCCTGATGAAGCTTAATTGACCTAATCTGATTTACAAATTGCTATTTGTGTTGTTACTATTTCCGCAGTGATAAAAAAAATTAATTTGACTCAAGAGCTAAAATCTTGAACCAAGAATATCATTTTGAAGAAAATGATTTTCTTGAATCAAGAGAATAAATTCTTGAGATAAAAAAAATTTACTTAAATCAAGAATAATTTTTTGACTCAAGAATTTAATCTCTTGACCTAAGAAAATCATTTTCTTCAAAATGACATTCTTGGTTCAAGATTTTGGCTTTTGAGTCAAGTTAATTTTTTTATCAGTGCGTTTACATTATTTCCTTTTTTTTACATTATTTTATTTTGTTTACATTATTTCTATATTAAATTTATATACAAACGTGTACTATTTCACTTGAATTTTTATGTAATGTTGCGATTCGGCTAATCTCTTGGCATTTAAATCAAATAAATAAATAAATAAATCGTAGCACCTGGAATGTAATCGTAGAGATCCAGGTTCGACTTCTGGTTTGGTCCGATCGCAATGATTTTTTTAATTCTCGTACTTATCAGTCAATTTGCATAATAACATTAATTTTTTGATGAAAACGTTTTGATTAAAATTTCCAATAAAAAATAACGTTAAATTAAAGGATTGGAAAGGCTTAAATAAAATAATACTATTTATTATTATTATTATGATTACTATTTTTTTTTATTTGGGTGCGATGTCGCAGCAAAAACTAAAAGAATAAATTGTGAGCGGATATGACGGATAACCCCGTGACACCCTCTATCATTGTATCACTGAACACTGTAATATTTTTATCATTATCATTAACATTCCAGTAGTCAAAACTCACAACTTTTTAATTTATGATTCACGACCTTTGATCGATTAAATTCCGACAAAATTTCCATGTTACAGTTTTGACTTTAAATTGTTAAAATAAGATTACTTTTTTGATGAATATAATGATTCAGACTAAGTTCGTAATAAATTAACAAAGTTCATAAAAAACTTCAAACCACCTACACGAAAAACTATCACCAGTTTATTTTATCTAGTCAAAGGTCTAAAAATAAACACGAAACACAACGGGGTCAGTAGATATCTTCGAGTTATGACTATACTCGAGACGAAAAGTAAAACTTCATTTGAACCTCCGATACACGGTGTCCAAAGATGCTCATCATTCAAGACTAAGAGCTAATGGTACTTAGTAATAAATATTAAGAAAACCAACGGATTTTTCAGTTAGAAATCTTTTGAAGTATTTCAAAAAATTTAATTCATAAAAAAATTTCAATAACTTTAACTCACATTTTATTGACTTGAAAGAAATAAAAAAAAAAAAAATTAAAAATTTCCACGGAGACTTAATGTCTCGAATGAAAAACGGAAGTCCATTTGACGACATACTGCGGACCTCCCTTTGGAGGCTCTCGTTCTTCATGTCCTCGAGCGACATTTCGAACGGCATTCTTGGCTCTCCGCGGTAGGTTCCGCGTCTCTATACGCAACTTCTTGTTATTTATCTCACGTTTGTGAAAAATTAAAAAAGGCCCGAGAGAGTCCGTCTCATTCCCACCCCCCGGGAGTTCGCCACCTCCCCCTCTCCCTTCGCCCCTTTTCGCGGTTACGTGTTAAGGTTTTGTTTGGTTCTGGTCGTTTTGTCTGGTGAAAGTTTACGACGCACTCTGCTCTCTGCTCTCACAAACTTGCAGCAATATCTAAAAAAACCCGGGTATTTTATTCGTATGAGAACATATAATAGATATAAGGCAATGCTGTCTCTTGGCGTAATAGTAAGAGCTAAGAGTGCGCCTTAAACGTCACTTAGAAAGGATACTCACTTGTTCCTTAGTTGACGTATTTTTAAGGACTTCCGAGGGACAGAGCATCAAAACTCAAACATATTTTGTCTTTTTAAAAAAGATACTCTCCCAAAAATCGTCCTAGTAATTAAAAATTACCAAATGATTTTTCTGTATTTAAGTGATTTATTTATACAAAGTCCTGATGTTGGAATTAAAATTTTTATTACAATTAATCCGTCAAAAATAGAGCTGTCATCACCAATATAGATGGTTGTGTTCACTAAAACGCCATCTACCAGTGAAATTTCGACTTTGTCCTCAGTAATTTATTCTTGGTTCGATAACTTATTATATCGACGAAAAACGGATACTTTTGAACCAAACATTAACAAATTCGGAATCTAAAATCCTGCGGAGGAGAAATTCTTTAAAAAACCGGTTTTCTTAAATAATTTTCTCGGTTCAAGATTGTTTTTCCAGTAGTTTAGAACCAAAAGAAGATGACAAAGAATATATAGACAGAGCAAAAGAAGAAGAAGAAGAGAAGGATGCAGCGTGCTCTCTGATAGCGAATCAAAAGGTAGCACTTGCTGAAAACTGTTTATGATGACACAGAGCGGCCATAATCTGCGTTGTTGAGAGCTGCAAACGTGCCGCTCGCGGCTTGAAACCGCAGTAAATACCGGTATCTACTGTCGTAAAGTACGGCATTGGTTTTCTACTCAACACATATAGATAGAGGCCTGGATCCACACCAGCAGCAGCAACAGGAACAGGAGTAGCAGTAGCAGTAGCTGGAGAATAAGAGGCGATGAGAGCTGCAATGCACTAGCTGAGAAAGAGCTTTCGTACATTATATTACATACAAGTGCTTCAATATATAACAAGGAAGTAGCCAGCTTTGTCGATCGGAGGCTCTTGCGAGAGGGAGCGAGAGAGACTCAAGACAATAATTTATGTCGCGGTGCACCACTGCAACCGAGGAAAGAGAAATAATGTTCAAGAGCGAGAGAGAAAACCGCTGACAGTTGAAACACGGCGGTGTCTGTGTCTCTCCTCGGATTGGCCGGTTCCACAGGCGCCTTATAGGGTGACCGCGCATGCGCTGAGATCTGCGACATCCATCAGCGTCTACTGGAGTGCCGCTGTCACACGGCGTAACCCGCCGTCACTTGTATTGGCCTCGCCTCGCAATTCTCAATTCTCCCTCTTTCTGTTTTCTTCCACGACCAAGACTGTCTTTGTTGTCTTTGTTTTTTTGCCACTCTTCAGATACTTTGTGTTTCGTTCTTAATTCTTATTCGTCTTGCTCGCGATTTTCGTCTCATTCTTCTTCTTCGGCTTCCTGTCCTTCTCGCTGACTTGCTTTATTGTCCTTTATTCCCGTTCGGTTCTCCGTTGGACCCTTATGTTACTTCGGGCAGTTGTATTGGGCTTAAGTACTTACACTTAACCCCGCTGTTTTTTCAAAAGATAAGATTATACTTGAAAAGAAAAATAATTTAGCCATGGACTGTTTAAAAAAAATTGAATTCACATTGAGAAAAAGATATAAAAATATCAGTACATTAAAAATTAAGGTAATACCCTCGGTTAGAAATTTACCGTTCAGAATTTGATGAAATTTGACATTAAATTATAGTAAGATAAGAAGCCTACTAAATTTTTGAAAATCTCAAGAGAACCAGTAAAAAAATATTGAGTTTTTAAATTTTTATAGTTAAATATTAAGTCGTACGAGAAATGATCGTTTTCATTTGATTTTACAAAAAGTGACGTTAAGATTTTAATAAAAATTAAAATGATGAAAAGAAATTACATATTAAATACTTTGCGTAATTACAAGTACAGATTCAGAGCATGTAATAGTCATAATGAATAAAATAAACTTAAAAAAAAAAGTTTTGGTTTCTTTTTGTTCAATGCAACGTTACAGAGGTAAATCTGCAAGGTAAATCAAAAGAGACTTTGGATTTGATATTTTTGGTTGTTACAGTATCGACCAAAATATTATATCTCTATAAGATATTAAATGGTTTTTTAAAGTGATAATAAATTTTGAACTAATTATTTTTTCGTACAAATGGAAGATTCTCTAAAATGGAGTTAGACAATTTGCTAATTAGAACGTCAACATACTTTTTTAACATGTGACATGGCAATGATTGAAAGTTGATTAAAATACAACAAATAAAGTAAAAGTCAATATTAATCTTGTTAATTATTTCGATTTCAATAATACTTTTAAATTATCATACACCATAACCGTGAAAAAATGGAAATTAGAAAAGTTAAATAATACAAAATAATGATGAAAATTGAAATTTCCTTCCTTTTTTACCATCTACTAGAATTTAAATTTTCGCGCGCAAGCGCGCGCCTGATTATAGAATTTGCATATATTTTCATGCTTATGATATATTCGACCAATCACGTTACGAATAGTTTGATGCCACATATATTTCATCTCAATTTTATTATGGGATTTTTCCCTTAATTTTAAAGATTTAAAATCCGTTGACACTGACAAAGTAAAATGATTAAGAGTTAAATGCAGTAAATGATAAAACGTGTTGATTTGTTTCAGCAGCCGCCAAACTCGCAGGAGCGAGGCAGCGGCTTGGCTTTGGGCTGTCAAGGTGGGCTGGGAGGGAGCGCAGGGGGGCCTGGAGCGATGGATCAGGCGCGGGATCTCAGCCCGTGCCTCCCCGCGTCGATGGGTGATGCCGCAAGACCCACCACTTTACCGTGCAGCCCCCCTGCGGCTCATCATCATCACGTATCGTCCCATCGAACACAGCTTCATCAGACTACTCACTGTGGCTCTAATAACAACAACAACTGCTACGACGGAACGACCACCCCTTACGAGTCCAGAGATTACGGATCTCCTGGAGGTGGGTCTTCCTTATCTTTACAGTATCTTAATCACAACCATATAATTATTGTTTTCATTAAACCAACTCACTGCTTACATTGTTTCTGATGATTATATTTATCTACACCGAAAGAATTTTTTTTCTAATTACCGTAATTGTGGGACGTTCCGCTACTCCTGATCTAATTACAATATTTAAATAATTATTTTCATATACAATGTAAAAAAATACAAAAAAAGTACCATTTATTTTTAATGTAGTATACCAGGCAAAAATAATAAAAGTGAAAAATTAATAAGATCAATAATTAATTTTTACTATTTTAATATAAAAAATTAAATGATTTTACTGAAATTACTAAAAAATTTACCAAGCTCTCCAACAAACTCATTTTCTCTTAAATTTATCCCTAATACAGGTGGAACCGAGTTCAGGAATTCGAGCTTCGAGCATTCCAACGACCTGAACCATCAATCCTTGAACACCCAGCAGCACAACCACAACCACCACCATCATCACCATCACGAGAACCAGCACCACCATAATCACCAGTCCCAGGTGCACCAGCACCAGCAACTCACCGAGTCCCAATCAACCGGCTCGGATGATCTCCACACGATACCCAAGCTGGAACCACCACCAACACCACCCACCCACCTGGAGGATGTCTCGGGGGTCGTTTGTGCTGGCTGTGGCCTCAGAATATCTGACAGGTTCTATCTCCAGGCCGTAGAGAGGCGATGGCACGCTGCCTGTCTCCAATGTTCTCACTGCCGGCAAGGTCTCGATGGCGAAGTCACCTGCTTTAGTCGGGATGGGAACATTTACTGCAAAAAGGACTACTACAAGTAAGTTCACTTTATTTTTGGTTTTTTAAGCTGATGTAAATCAGCTAAGGGAGGTGCCAATTTTTTACATATTTTTTTTTTTTTTTTTTTCATTATTATTCTTATCGTTTTCTTAATGCTTTGCACTAATTTTTGATGAGATAATTATTGGAAGACGTCTTTCAATTATTAAAAGATGTGGATGGTGAATTATAAGTGAGCTAAAGATTATTGATATATAATGATTGACAACTGAATATATATTTTTAGTGATTGTATCCAAACGAAATTTCAAAACTTTCACAAACACAGTCCTTACTATATAATCACAACCAGAATTAACAAAACCGCCGATTCAATAAACAATTACCACCTATTGAAGGAATTTTGGGTCCATAACCTGTTGAATAACGATTGATCATAAATTACAACTTACTCATGATTTATATTGTTATTTTTGACCACTAATAATCTAAAGACATAATGCAACAAATTACATAGAAATGTTTACCAACAGACTGACTGACTACCAAATAAAAATCACAGTAATAACATCCTTGAAGCTGTTAAGTAACCAGTACAGGATGATTATTTGGAATTTGTCGTGGATGGAAGAGCGATTTAGCATCTGAGCGTGACCAAAGTGTGGTGTCCTCGTGAATCACGAAAGCGAGACAGACACGATAGCCATGGCAGCCAATGCTGCATGAAGGCATGAAGAAAGAAGCTAGAAAGAGAGTCAAGGAAACTCGAAACGACCTTCTTGAGGAATACCGAGTTATAATAGGAGTAGAAATAGGTGCAGCACAATATCCTCACCCAGCAGAGGCCTCGATAATTCAATCAGAAAGTTTATATTATGTGGACTTGGAGCAATGCGGAAAATGGGAGATAGGATCCGTAATGCATGGATCATGGATCTCAGCTCTGTTAAGTTAAGTTAACTTACTGGGAGAAAGAGAGGGATAAAAAAAGGTCTTAAGTATCATTCGTCCGTGATGAAATGTAGATCGGCTGCGATTTACTTATCGAGAATCGACGCTTCGCCGGAGGTAAATGGCCGAGTCGTGACCATTAGTCCGTGGACTCTGGGCCTTATACTCTGATGGGCATATATGCACTTACTTATACTTATACTATAACTTAAACACACTTACATTCTCTTTACTTGCAAGAAAGACCCTGTTATTCTCTTTTTCTCTCTCTGTTGATGCTTTCGTGTGTTTATGTTTTTGAACTGCACTCCGTGTGCGGTACAAGCGAGAGGAGCTCCCTCCCCCTTTGTCATACACTTTATACTTTTAAAGAAAAAAGATTTGATAAGAGTTTTTCTGGAGAACAAGTGCACACGAACGTCCAATTCTAAACGAAATGAAAGTGCTATACAGTTATTTTAGATCAACAGCTTATACGACTAGTCCAGTGTTCAGCTAAGTTGCTTTGAAGTAAATAATGGAGAACCGAGTCAAATCCGTTTCTCGAAAATGAGATCAGCTGAAAAGATTAGTACCTTCCTTTTCTTTTTTTGTTTCTATTTTTTTGTAGCATTAGCTACACTTTTAGGTTTAATAGCTTACTATTCAAGTTTTTAACCTGCAAAGCTGTTTCTTTTTTTAATCTCAACATTGATCGCGAGTCCCTGTGCCTTATCTGCTTATTTGCAAATCCACGTGTCATTTCTCGGCATATGGATTATACTTACCGCTTTAGTCTGACATAAATGTCAAACAAATTTCGGTAGGCCGGTTATCTTTCTCGAGGATCTTCAAGCTTTTTTGGAGCTATTGTTTGCTGCAGGGTGACAATTACTTGGATGATTTTTACGGAGAATTTCTAGAAGACGGTGGTTCTTAAGAATGGGGAATTTTACAGTTCTTTTGATAAAAAAAATAGGTTGTTGATTATGTAATGAATAATATTAACGATTTAGTGTTAAGATGGGTAATTAAAATATGTGGAAAGTTTTGTGAGTGAGTGTCTAAAATTTTGGTGTGTTACTGATGTAATATTTTACTAAAATCTACAGTATTTAAATTGTTTGGGTTTTTCTGGGAAAGTATTTTCGTTGGTGATGAATTCGAAAGATTAGATAGTAATGAGAGTCATAAATTAGAGTTTGTACTTTCTATGAATTTTGATAAACTTTTGCTTCAAAAAATTAATTTTTAATTACGATATAAATTAAAATTTAATACTTTTTGTCTAAATTATTATATTAATTTAATATTTCTCAATTTTTTTATACAAAATTTAAATTCAAGGTTTCAAAAATAGATAACTTGGAAATAAATTTTTAATTAACAAAACTGAAATTGAAAACCATTAATCATTAAAAAAACAATTAACGATTATATATTAGACTGAGACAAAATAATCTATTGATTGTTTTTCTAAAAATATATCAAAAATTAAATCATCAAAAGAGATTAACATTCAAAGTCTGGAAACAGTTTTGACGAAAATTTTCAATCAGACTTTTTTTGCAAACCGGACAATATTTATCATTTAAATTTTGCTGCCTAGTGATTTTGAAGTTTAAAAAAAAATCAAAATTATTAATATTAAAATCTCTAACATTTATTTTTTTTTGTCACCCTGAATATTTTTGGTAATTAATTAAAAAAATAGTCATCTATTTCGACTCAGTCTTCTTTTACACAGTGCAATCTCAAGTTGACTATTTGATAAAAAAATTTACAAAATTTAATTCTAAAAAAGTTCGCTAAAAATATGATTAACCCAAAAAGCCAAAAAAATAAAATGAAATATCATTGAAACATAAGTGAAATCTCGAGTATGCCGATATGATGCCGGCGAGCTAAAATTACATTAGTGTATCGTATAGTGTATACAGCATATAGATCGAAAGACTAGATAAGAAGCCGGTCTTAGTCTTAGTAATGAAGACACCACCAGACGGAGAAATGATAATTGCCGGCGAATGAAAGAGAAAGGAACACACAATATCATACATAATAATAACAACATAAAAATAGCAAGATAGAATATTAATATATACAATATAACACTCAAGAAATAAGACAAACTGTAACCGATACGATTATTCAATAGATAGCGGCGGTGATACTCCTCATCGCTGCACCGCGTTCCATCCAGGTTAGTGCGCACGCGCCAATAATTTGCGCAATAGATCTGCGTACCGCCTATACTAGCCGCGAGTTTCGCCCATTCTACTAATTCCGATTAGACGGATAGGAAGAAAACGGCTTGACAGTCTTTACTGATGTCAGAGCGCATTACAGATAAAAGTAGCAATCTTGCTGGCTGTCATTAATATCTCCGCTCAATCTTGTCTATATTTACTGTCTTACATACGAGCGAAATTCGCATCAGCAAATTCATCTCCTGATCGTGATGAGTTGCGCTCTTTTGGACGGGTAACAGAAATACCTCGTTATCTTTAGCCCTTGCATGTGAGATCTCCAAAAAAAAAAAAAAACAAAATTACTTTTGAATGGGGATGTGCAGTTTCGCCAGAGCAGGGCTGTTATTAGAAGACACTCAAGGCATTACATCGCGTGATGAGGACACAATGTCCCTTTATGCTTGTCCTCATATAAACTCTCGACAAACAAAGGAAATTACTTTGTTTTAATTTCGCATATGTTTTTATCTGCATTCTACACTCTTGTAAATACATACACACATATGTAATAATATTTTACTGAGAAATCGGCTCATCTTGGTCTTGATGGGCTTTGTATGATACTTAGCGATGTCTTATTTATTTTTGAATGCCAATGCGAACTATTTTACTGCTGATGCACTTGAATGATATGAGGACTCCCAGTAGATTAAAATTAGTTTAATGCGAGTGCTGTATATATACAATGCAGGAAAAATATCCAGTGCATCGTCATTCATTGCGTGATGTTAAAGACTGCCCGGGTGGTTTTGCTGTAAAAATTGCTTGCGCGTAAAGAGATTGCTGTTCTGTATTTATTATATAGAGACTTAAACTAAAAGTTAAGAGAACTGTACAGAGTGCAGTGTATGACTTCCTGGATTATTTCAACTGTCTTTATACCCACCGTAATAACGAGAACTGACTGCAGTGCACTGAGAAACAATAAAACTACCAGACCGATGATGAAATTAGATTACTATCGGGTTTGATAAGAAACTCGGAGTCAAAAGCTGTCAAATTTTATGTACCAGTAAACGGTACATTTAATTTAGTGCTGAAAGTTAATTGTCGTTTTGATGATATATAAGTTTCTAAAGAAATTGAATTAATGATCTTGAGGAGAGAAGGGGTTGGTAATGTATTGCAATCCACTATGAATTGCACAATGAGTTATTGGACATGCTCAATTCAGGAAGTAGGGTTTTACAGTTTTATGTATGGGCTTGTATTGTCGTTTTTTATGGGGGTTTTAGCTTAGAAACTGCTTCATTTTCTTGCTACAGAAACCGGTTTACCAATTGATAGCAATGTTTTATGAAATTATAACATGTTGTAAATTTTATATGAAAAATATCATTATTGTGTATGAACTGTATAGTATATTAGTTATAAGTTATGGGTAGAAAAGTTTGACCGAGAAATGTCGCTTATAGAAAATGTATTACGATTAGTTATAGGATATGTGTTGTGAGAAACTAAACGAGGTATGTGAAGCGTTTATTAGGTTGAAATTTAGAAAATTATTTATGAATAGTATTTATTTTTTCTTTTTGATTTATGATGGAAAATTTTGATAATTTTTGCAATAAAATTGGCATTTCACAAATTACAATATTAATCATTAGCCAAAATATATTTTTTCAGTAGCTTTAAAGCTTTTGATATTAGCAAAAATGTTGAGCTCTAAATTTTTTAGAGATACTTTTTGCTTCTAATAAATTTTTTAAAGTTTTTACTTAAATTTAAATCAATTTAAAAAATGAATATAAATAATTTGGGTCAAGTTTTAGAAATATTTTGAATTTATTGAGACCTGTAAATTTAGAATAGTTTTTAAAATTTAACCAAAATTTTATGTAACCCGGAAATCAATTTTT